GATTTCTTTAAAAAGCAAACAAAATGGTCAAATTTCACAAAAACAATCTAAGTCTCTCTCGAGCATAATCAGAAGAGCAATGTATTTTTCTAGCTTCTCTGACACTACGAATATTTGGACAATAGAGTAAAACATTTGTGCACCTCCGATTAAATAGAAAAAGTGTTAGTTACTGATCTTTATTACAACAAGAACAGTCTTCAACAATTTTAAGGCTAGAAGAAAAAGTAAAAATATAAAACAACTTTTCACATATGTAACATATTCGGATATTCTGTATTTTGCAAATGTATTTTATTGTAAATATACTCAGCTACAACATTAAAAAGAAGAACATTATTTGTATATACATTTTGTGGCCCCATGTCAATGTCTGACCTTTGCTTTCAGTGATCTCACTCAACAACAACTAGCTTGAAAACATCTTGTAGAGATAACCAAAAACACATCTGAAAAAGGCAGGAGACCTTCAGTAGGACTATTTTCCTGCATGCTGCAGGTAACTCAGCTGCTTACCTACATGTATAGATTACATTTTTTTAGGCTTTTTAAATAAGGTTTTTGCCTGCATATTCATAACTGCTGGGTTTGCATCCTGTTTAACATTCATCCACTTATCAGAAAAGTTTAAAAAAATCTGAATGAAAGAAGTTCAGACTTGTCATTAGGCTCTGCCAAGACAGAATTTCCAGTTTATCTCAGCCCAAGCAGTCGTATGCACAAATAGTTCCTCCTCCTGCCTGGAGAGCTATTGGATACATTGCTCTTCATATTCCACCTTAGCCAGTAAGTCTATAGGGAACAGAGAACAAACATATTACCTAGCACAGGTGACAGGGATGCTGAGCAGGCAGACTCTGCTTAGGTTATTGGCTAAAGGAATGGAATAAAGAGCAGAGGCAGCTACGCAGAGGCAGTCAGCATTTAAGGACCATCTTCTTGGCACTGTTTGCACAGATTTTATGTTTCACTGAGAATTACAGTGCTCAGTACATGCTTTACACAGTATTCTCAACTGGAATTTCCAGCAGTTACAAAATAAAATCACCAAGCTATGACAGGGCTGAGGGTTCTGCATTTTTAGCTCATCCAACCCTTAGCAGCCACAGCTTGTGTACACTGGCTATTTCTGTAATCCTGCACACAGGAATCAGAAAAAGGCTTCAGAGTCTACACCAAAAGTAAAATAGACAAATGCAAACTCCTTGTTTTTAACACAGCTATCCAGTTTGCTAAAAATGTTGGGGTTTTTTTTTTTTGTCAAGTGACTGAAACAAAAAGCACAGAGCACACTATTGTGACAGGAACTCAAATCCATTAGGTTTTTCACAAATTAGTTTGTCTGCTCCAGGATCAGAACACAAACTTGCCTTCTCTGAAACATTTAAATATTACCCTCTCTTACAAGGTTTGCCTTTCATTTCCATCAAAAAAATATAAAAACATAACTACAACTGCAAAAATGAAAAGTAGTAGAAATGTTTATTTCTAAATGAGAACAAGTTGGTAAGAATAGACAGAAACTAAATTACCTTGAGTGTGGCAATGCTTTGTAATAATTTAGCACATAGCTTCTCAAATCTCAGGTTAAAACAACCTCTCCAATTGCAGACAGCCTCTACAAATTATCTTAGCAGAATAAAGAACAAGTCTTCAGACAGAAAAATCCTTCTAGTTTTATACTAGGAATTCAATTTGTTAGAACTGTCCTCATTTAACCATCTAACACACTGGAAACGTATTCATTTACAGTCTCCAAACTGGCACAAAACCTACTAATTTCCACTTTAAAATGCAGATCATGAAAAAAAGTAACCATGATATTTCCCAGAACAGTATCTGCCCACAATTAATTTCATACTGCAATTTTACAAGAACAAACACATGTCAGAAACCTGGGACATAGATTAATTTGCAATTTAGACCACTATGTTACCATTAACTTTCTAAGTTAACTAGTACCCTGCTCAATTAAAAAAGAGATATCCAGAATTTTTGACAAGTTCCACTGAATTTATTTCATTTCCAAAGATTCTGTATAAACTCATAATCCCACAACAATGTAACTAAATGTAACTCATATTTTTTAAGCTGAGAAATTAAAACTTAATATGTAAAGAGTCAGAGATGTAGAAAAAGCATGTAAAAAAAACAAAGGCATGTTCAAGAACCATCCAAAATCCAAGTATTAATTTAATATCAAGAAATGGTATGACATGAGCACTGTGGCTTCAGGCTTCTCTCAGTGAATTTTTTGCCACATTTTTTCCCCATTAAGCACCACAATTTCTTTGAAAAAACAATTCATCCAAATACCATTTAGTATTGAACATGCATTCTAAGCAATAAAGTAAGACAACAAAGAACTGAAGCAATAGTACTTTAGGAAAGCATAGCTGAGAGCTCACTGGATTTTGCCTTTAATCCATTGCAGAAATTTATGAGTTTCGAAGGGGTGGGGAGGGTTGTGGTTTGGGTGTGAGTTTGGGGGGGTTTTGAGGCAGTTGGAAAAAATATCTGTTTCTTAAAATTCACAATACTAACAGTAACAACAAACTGAACAACTAGCCCTGGAGAGACAGTTGCACCCAACTGTGGCAAGAAGTAGAACATTTCTAGAATTTTAAACATTTCTTTTAATAATTGATGTAGTCATTTTGAATCTTTCTGCATAGGATATAGCATGTGAGTAGATTGCATTAACACTGCTTAAACATTTCAACTTGTCAGTATGGCCAAGTCGATTTCTGAAATATTTGCAGTATTTTCCCATCGAAACAGTAATAAAGGTAGAATAAATATATGCCACTGCTTTATAATCACTGAACATTAATGAATATTTTATGTCTTTTTAAATCTCCCTGTTTAATTTAAAAGGGTGAAATTAAGTCTCCTCCCTGCAATATGCCAATTATCTGTAAATCAAACAATAACTTGGCCATTATACTCCTTTTTGTTAATATACCAGAAGCTAATTTGAAAACACTGAGCAGCATTTTTAGGCAATAATTGAATAGTCCTTCCTGCCCTCTTGTGGTTGGCAACTGCAGCTCACAAAGCTTCTTCACCATTACAAAAACACACCAGAAGGAAAGTAAACTATTAATTTGTTAAAGTGCGAACAAGAGAGTGAAGAAAAAAAATAATCTAACAGTCCCTGGAGAGGAGAGAGACAAAGGAGAGAAGGAAAGATACCACCGATTCCTCCAACTCACAAGGACTAACTAGATTCATCAATCATTAGTTACAATGATCACTCCATGCTAAAAAGAAGGAAAAAAATTAAATTAAGAAGCCATTAGGGAGTTAACATACCAAACAGTGCTTGTTTTCTATAATTAGACAAATGTTCACCAACCCCTTTACCTCAGCCAAAGCCCCAGGGATTGCCATGAGACTCTGCACAGACATATTCACCTGTTCAGCATCAGCTGCACAAGGAGGGCCAGGGAGCAATTTCATTTCAGCCTCTGAAATGGTCTTCATCATTTCATACACTCTGTTGCATGCAATACTCAGATACAAGAAAAGCAAAGAAAGGTTTGCTGCTCCTGCTGGTTATGGGCTGGTAGGGGATTTATTTGGGTTGTTTAATGGGGAAAATCATAACTGACTTTTAAATTACATTGACTTCATATGTTAACACATTGACTGTAACCTGCCAGTACCACCAAACAAGAAAACTTCAGTGCATGGAAAGACAGTCAAGATTCCCCTGTCAGAGCTTTCCTGTTCCTTTGAGCCAGGTAAGACCCACCAGGAAAGAAATCATTGATATAGCATAGATACAAAACCAAATGGTCAATATGTATGTGTTTTCTTTTAGAATCTCATCATTTTGTACCTAAAAACACATATTTTGCTCATTCATTTTCATAAATATTCAAAATATTTTTAATTGTAAAGACTCAGAGCTCAGCCCCTCAAAAATCAAACTCATCCAACAACAACAATATTCACGTAACAACAACAAACCCAAACAGAACTTCCTTTAATAGGTTTAAAAATAAAAAGTAGAAAACAGGCTTTCACACAGGGGAAAGATCAGGATTTAGATCTTAGAATTATAGGATTCACAATGAAAACAGTTAATGATCATTTTTCATTGTTGTACAAGATACTGCAGCTCCTATAGCTAATATGACAGAACTTAAATTAATTCTGTCTACAATGTCAGCATGTGACACGCAAAACTTCAATAAAATCTGTTCAACCCTAAAAAGACTGAGAGATGTGTCAGACCAATAGCAAACATACATTTAATTTGAAAAGCAAACATTTAATCTTAATATTTTGTAATGTGAATTCTGAAGATTCACATTCCCAGCTTGTTTGTCATGTTTCCAGAAGGCAGTGGGTTATATGGAAAATAACATCCAAAACAGGTGGCATTAGATATATCATGGAGCACTAGACAACAGCATTTAGCTTTGCAAAGTAGTTTTTAAAATATGAAGGGAATGCTTGCTCGAAATTCAGAGTCCAGAGTCTTATTAGAGATGTTTGTTCCTCTAAGACTTAATTCTGACAAAGTTCTCTCCAACATCACCCCTTGCTGGTCATTCCCCAGAACGGCAGCAACGTCCATCATACACAAACCCATTTGGCTACCAAGCCAGTAAGAATTACAGCACTCCTACAGCAACCAGCAATGGTTGAGGTGCCTAGGAAATGGAGATGGAGCCGGCTAAAAGAAGGGAAGACAGAGGGAGCTTCAAAGGGCTTAAAGAAAAAATGCAATTTGAATAACTCAATAATGTTTGCGTATTTTGCTACTACGACGCAAAAAGAAACATCACTTCTGTATAGTTTAATAGAAAACCTTTTTATGACCAAGTTCTTTAATTAAATTACAGCAATCTCGATGATCCAGTTGATTAAAAATAGAAAGACTAATAAAATAAAGGAATATCCATCAAGAGCATGCAAACTCCCTTTAACAGAGCTGGCATTAGCTATAATGAGCTACATTTATTCTTCAGCTGTGAAACAGCACTCACCTCCTGAATGGTACTGCTTCCTGAGAAGTTGAGGTTGTACTCCCGCTGGACTTCTCGATGGGTGACAATCAGCATGAAGTTTTGATTTAATGACTCCCGCAGGGCCCTGAAATGGTTGAAAGAAAAACAAGAAAATCAGGGACAAGCATGTTATAGCTTGTTTTACAGTTAGATGCAAAAACCCCAGGGTACCCTAAACTCTACATGGACAAGTCCAGGCACAACATTATCATCTCTCTTTTCACTCTTAAATGCAAGGAAGCATGCTGAGAATGACCAAAGGCCATTCCCCAACTCCTTCCTTAATAAGGTGATACAGCCTTTAAAGCTCTTCTAATGTTAAGTATTCTCTAAATCAAGAGAGTCACATTATCCTCACGAACATCAGGTGTGTTTAGCACTCATAATGCCATTAATACCAGGCTTGTCAGCATATTGATGACCAGACAAAATATCAAGCTATGATTGCACATGAAGAACTGATGATGAGTAGGAAAAAGGCAAAACATGCTCTCGCTTCTCTGGGGTTACCTGAAGCAGAAACCAAATGGAAATTCTTACGCTTAGTTTCATTCCAAGCACACAAACATAGCTAATTAGAACTAGAAAAGTCACCACAGCAAAATTTCTCACGTGGGTATTGAACATTTACAAAATTTAGTTCTGCTCACATTGGTTTAAATGCACATTACAGAGGTTTTAATCATAAGAAATAATAAACAAAAAACCTTAAGATACAGTTTAAACAGACCAACTATATATTCATGTTGTCACAAACATTTGGGGGGGTTTTGTGATTTTCCTGGTAATAAAACATGTGGCTGTTAAAAAGGGCATCCTGTTTGCTCAATTAGGCACAAAATCATGCAGCTCTCTACTTCCCAGAATAGAAGGCAGGACTTCCATTACAGGCACAGTGTGTACAACCTCACACACTACAAAACTGCAGCAACTTTGTGCCATAGCTCCAATTTCTAAACCATATTTATGCAAACCTGACCTGTTCAGTGGCATACAAAATTAAATTGGGTTTATTCATGTATAAGTGTATGATTATCACATACACTTACAAGAATGACAGACTGTGTTTTCTTTCTTCACATCTTCACTATTCCATGACACTTCAACATGCCATTTCCCTTAGACATGAAGGACAAATTCTGAATGCAGATCAGCACAGCTGTATCTTATGATACAAGAAGATAAGAAAGATTCCTAAATTACCTGAGATCTGATTTGCTAGTTTTAACTCTTACCAGAATTGCTGATCTGCTGTTTTGCTGCTCTCATAGCAAGAAACTCACACAGTACTCACTGGATGCTTTAGCAAGAGATGCACAATTTGCTGAACATCTCAATTTACCTTAAAAAAATATCTTCACTCAGCAACTTAATCTGCCCTGTGTGATATCTTACCAATCACATACCACAAAACAAAATCAAGTGCTATTTCTTGTCTTTTATGGATTTGTAATATGGAAGATAATGTAACTCATTGCCAATGCTAAGTATGATGATGTGCATGGGAGACACATCAAATATAACTGAAGTCATCTATGCTGAACATGAAGTTTTCTGCACTTGCCACAAAAAACTTGTAAGAAAAGGCCTAAAATTTTTTAAAATACTTAACAGTCCTTCAAATGAGAAAAAAATAGTCCTGAAAAGTTGTATGCCTATTTTCAAAGGTAATTCTAATTTGATTGCTAGTAAGTTTCGTGTCGCTATAACCAGATTTTATTTTGGCAAATGTTTGGTAGCAACTAAAATATCCTGCTGTGCTTTTTCAGATTCTGGGTTTTTATTTGTTTTCAGCAAATACTGGAGGCAAATGACATATTTAATTGCTCTGAAAACATTAATTACAGCATATGTGAATGGCTCTGGATTCCATACAGACTCACACAAGGCTCTGTTATAGCTAATTTTGACTCTATCTGAAAATCTGTAGATGCTAACTGATAACATGACTCATGTTTTCATTCTGTAATTGATGTAAACATAGAAGGAAACAGGCTAGTCTGATCAAACCCTCAGTCTCTCCAGTTATGCATGATACACAGACTTCAGCACTATCCAATGCTAATGAAAAGCATCTGCCCTTAGGAAAGGTTTTCCACTTGTGATAGCAGGAAGTAGTTAGAAAAGGAAAAAATACTCTTCAAACAAAGCTAATTTAAATGAAGTGCCTAAAAATTAAAAGCCTTAATTTTTGAAGTAACTAACAATTTTGACACCTCTACTTTTGGGATTTCTAAACAACACAAGCTGAATGTTGTTAACAAGCAAATTCTCAGTACCTATTCATTGACAAGGAGAGTGAAAGAAGAGGCTGAAAATTAAACTGGCTAAAAAAAAAACCTACAAAAAAATTGAGGAAAAATTTGGTTTGAAAGTGTTAGCAAATAAAGTGCATAGCTAATTGTTCACTTTTTCTTCAGAAATAAATAACATAATGAGGAATATTGCTTCTGCCTACACAGAAATGCAGTGGTAAACTGATACAGTCCTTTGAACACTTACATCAAAATCTCACATGGTCTGACAGCACTAAGACCTGGACCATGTACACTAGAAAGTTAAAGGGAGGAGGAATTAATGGCACATGTGATGGGTCATTGGTGCCAGTGTTGGTACCCACACTCCTCTGTGGGATGGGTCGATTTGAACAGCCAGCGACGTCAGTCCCTCCCATATTCCTCCAGCACCCAGGGATGTAGATTGCCCTAAATTATTTGTGCCAATAGAACTTTGCTTCCAAAACATATCTTGCCCTAAAATTGTACTTTCAGCCATTAAGGTGATGATGAAATTTACATGATAGAAGTATTTAAAGGAAACTTCTCACTGACACTAAGCTGAAGCTTATTTTTATTTCTTATTAGGTCCACATAAGTGTATTGAGAAGACTGACTTTGAATACAATGCATATGCCTGAAACTTTGGCTTCAGTGTTTGCAGCTGTTTAACTTTCCTACAAGAATTACTTGACTACAACTTCCTAATAAAATATCTGCAGTAAAATGAAAAAGAAAAAAAATTAAAATCAAACTCTGTGTCCCATTAAAATCAAGACAGATTTTATTTGTTCTTTTCCTTTTCTTGTTGTTCTTTTGTTGTTGTTGCCATCAGTGCTAAGAGAATTTAATTAATCTGAGAATGAATTAGTGGGAAAAGAAAACCAAATTCTAAAAACAGGACTAAAGTAGGCCACTCTTACCAGGACCATTTCTCCCTTACTGCAAATTCCAGCTTTCAAAAGCATTTGCTGATTTGCTGCTATTACAGTTTTTTTACCTCAGCTGAATGATTATACATGCACTATTCGGCACAAGAGGCAAGAGAACCTGTATTTTTGGGCACCAATCCTCCATTTGAGGTACTCTGCCTAAACCCAAAAAAGGAGTTCAAGAACAGATGAAAGAAAATAGACCTGAGCATGGTTACTGCTCTGAGCAGTTCAGGCAAGAGACTTGGACATACAAAACAGATTGGCATTATATACCATTATTGGTATTATATACTGTTAAGTGATTACCTTAATGCTTTGATTTTTTTATGCAATATTTTGCTTTTTAATAGAATTTTTCTTTTAAATTTTAGTAAGATTTTAAACTTTGAAACTAAAAGTGTATCCTTAATCAATGATCAGTAAATGCTGCTTTTCATTTTGATTCTGGAAGTTTTCATGAAATACATTCAGTGTTTCCCATTAGGCAGTATCTTTCCCAGCCACAGGGAGATTTCCCCCAAAATCTCTGATTTTTATATAAATAGGTATGACACAAGGTAATTAACATTTCCAGTTTAAACTTACAGATTTATACAAGCTCATGTCAACAGAAGTCCAAATTTACTGTAATTACAGATTATTTACATTAAAACAAAATAAGAAATCAGTATGTAAATGTAATGTTTGTTGTAGCTAATGCAGCAGGAGGTGGTAGATTAGGTTCAAACAGCAATCAGTTAGCAAATCTGGCTAACATGTAAATGAGCAGAAGCCCTTTTGTTTACATTCTATTGCATTTTAAACTTCAGGATTTTTAAACTGTCTCAGGAGCAGATGTGAAAATAAAACATTAATCTTACCATTCCTATGGAAGCTTTCAAAGTAACTAAAGCAAGGCACTGCTCCTGTCCAGCTGAACAGACAGCACTAGTAATTGGAGTTGCAGGTTACATCGTTCTTAATTAACACTCTGCTACAGTGGATAAGGTACAACAAGACACTGTGCCACCACCACCACCACTGCTCTGCAACAACCTAAGGCATTTGGCAACATACAGACCCATTACTTCAAAGACAGGGGGGAATTTCTACCCACAGACATGATTACACTTCTTAAATAAGTTACAATCACTTAGCAAAGAAACATTATTTGTAACAATCTCCAAGGTATGCACTTGGGCTTTTAACCACCTTCAAGCTTCCAATGATTGATCAGGTATAATAAAAGTGTCTATGACAGTCAGCTATTTAGAAAAAAAAACCAAAAACCAACCCAAAACCAAAACAGTTTAAGTATAAAATATGTTATATCCATTAAAATAACAACAACAAAAAAATTTATAAAAATCATCTCCCAGAACATACAGGATAGAAAGGAGAGATGATCCAGATGATCTAGCTCCATGACCAGGCTCACATACCCACACTTTGCTGCTCCCCTCTTGCATTCTCCTAAATCTACTCCTGAACTGGGCATTGTCAGCTTTCAAGAAGCATCCAAATCAATAAAGGGAAGGAATTGCACACAGAGGAAGTGATTAAGTTAATTTGACAAAACTGGTGCAAGGGATCTCTCCCCTTGGACTATGAAATGACAGACATTATTTGGCATCTTTCCTTTTAAGACTGCTTTCCAAAGGAAATCATGTTCTTCTCCACCCACCTGTCCCACTGGTAACTTCTGAACATACTCACTAGTTTTAAGGAGGTCTGACAGTGGTAGAAAGGTCTCAAAGACTGGGTATAAATGAACAGCCAGGTAGAGGAAAGGGACCCAAATCACCACCCACCTTATTAAGAGGCTGTATTACAAGTATATTTTATACTCCATCCAGCTGACCTCTGTCCAAGCATCTCAGAACTGCACAGAGCATATGATTTCACCTTCACTTTGATATTACCTGACTGCCAACTGGAGACCAGAGGCATGGCAGGCTGATAACTCTATACAAGGGAAAAAGTCTTACGCAGGTGCTACAAAATACATGAGAAGAACTGGATGCAGCATCAGAGGTAGGTGAGATCACAGGAAGCATGGAGAGAGAAGGCTGAGTTACTGCAGCTGCGGGGATGAGGCAGCCACTAGAAATCAGATTTCATTACATCCACAACTCCCAGAACATGTTGCTATTGTTCTGGATATCATGGATGGATAAATATGGCTTTGCCAGGCTGAAACTGTGGAAGCAGAGCAGAACCATACAGGTGGTATTTGACATTTAAATTTAATCTTTACACCTCAATTTACTCGCGTGCAGTAGTCATACACTGAGTTTCTATTACCTGTAAAAGCTTTAGAGGGGCCACTGATGAAGGAAGATACCCTAGGAGATTTTTGTTTGTTTAAACTGCATGATCACTTTGCCATTACATTTAGACACTGGTTTTAAGTCAGTTCTGGGTTAAGCCCATTCATCTGTCACAATAAACTTCAATGCCTATGTACCAATATGTTGGAAAAGGACATTTCAGACACTGCTCTGCCTCAGTATAATGAACAAGCACAAACTGGAGCTTATAGAGCTGAGACCAGACTGTTCTATTTAAAAAGAGCATACAGATAAAATATCACATACTGGAATCTCAGGCTTTTCAAATATCACTTTCTGGAGATATTCAAATCACAACTATTAATCTCTAGTTCAAAATAGAAGGGATTTGAAGAAAACAACAGGTGAACTCACAAAGTAAGAGGCAAAGTTCCTTAACATCCATTAATAACAGACGTGAGCATGATGCTTTTAAAAATTGTGGGCAACAAACTAATCTGAATAATAACTGACCTAACAGTAGGCAGTAAACAGTGTAACTGGGTTTGGTACATTGCTTCAATTAGATGTGTTTTGATCTGCATTGATGCTTTAATTGGAGGCAAGCCTCCCCTTTCATCTAGAATTTGTGACTTCAGGGAGATATCTAGCCTTCAAATTATCCGTGTTTAAATAGCCACTAATTAGTCATCGTTTGCTATCCCAAAGCTACCAACTTTATCTTAAAAATATCCAGAACTCATCTCCACTATGAAACAAATATAAACTATAAAAGGTAACAGCCACTTTGATTTCATTAGCAAGTAAAGTTCTTTGAAACTATTAATCCAATAAAAAAAGCCTAAGAACTGTTTTTAAGCAGTTTGTTGCTATATACTTTATTGAAGTTGCAATAAACAACACTCTTCAGACCCCACTTTCCTTTCCAGAATTGAAGACATTCAAATTAAAATATACAGTGATACCTGGGTAGGAAAATTTGAAATTGGAAATGGATGTAGAAAAAAAAAGGCACAATAAATAAACAATTAGCAGCTACAGTGCTTTTTTTCCACAGTATTTTCACTGTCCTTCAATTAGCTGCTAAAGTACAATGGCTTATTGTCCTCACACACAACTACAGCTCCTGTTTGCCTATACAGAGCACATACAGTTCAGCTCACCACCCTCTGTTCCAGTGCCATTATTTCTCTCTCTTAATGCTCCTTTTCTTTATTATTATTGTTTTTATAATTCATATCAGCACTCATATCCTCCACAGCCTAGGCAGTAATGTGCACAAGTACCTTTCAGCAATATGTGAGTACTTTCAGTGATTAGGAAGCCAGTTAGTCATTTCTGTTGATTCACCAGTAATACGACTGCACTTGTAGAATATTCTCCTATCGCCTACAAGGGCGGAAAACCAACTCCCTCTTCAGACAACCTGAAACTCATGCAGTTTGCCCAATTCCAAGCGCATCCCTCCCTCCCTGGTCCTTTCCCAGGCTCAATTCCTGCGCACCCTCTAGCGGCTACCGAATAAAACTCCCATTCTCCCGGGGAGAAGAGCATACAGGGTCGGTTGCTTTGGGAAAGGGAAGGGCAGGAAAGAAAACAATCCAAAGTAATAAAGAAATTGCAAACTACTTTATAAGAGAATTTGATATAAAACATCATTTCATTTTCAAACCTCTGCAATATTCACTGGCAGCAGAAAGAGACCTGTGGGTGTAGGCTGAGAGCAGCTGAACATGAGCCAGCAGTGTGCCCGGGGGGGGCCAAGAAGGCCAATGGCATCTTGGCCTGTATCAGAAACAGTGTGGCCAGAAAGACCAGGGCAGTGATTGTCCCCATGTAGTCAGCACTGGTGGGGCCTCACCTCGAGTACTGTGCCCAGTTCTGGGTCCATCAGTTAAAGAAAGACATTGAGGTGCTGGAGCATGTCCAGAGAACAGCAACAGAGCTAGAGGGTAAGTCCTATGAGGAGCAGCTGAGGGAGCTGGAGGTGTTCAGCCTGGAGGAACCCTTTAGTTCAGGGGGACTTTATTACTCTCCACAGCTAACTGAAAGGAGGTTGTAGTGAGGTGGGTGGCTGTCAGTCTCTTCTGCCATGTCTCAACTGAAAGGATGAGGAAATGGCCTGAAGTTGCACCAGGGGAGGTTCAGATTAGGTATTAGAAATATGTTTTTCACTGAAAGAGTGGGTCAGGCACCAGAATACATTGCCCAGGGAGGTGGTGGAGTCACTGCCTCTGGAGTTGTTCAAGAGACATCTGGATGTGGCACTTGGGAATATGTTTCAGGGGCTAATGGTTGGACTAGATAATCTTGATGGACTCTTCCAGCCTTGATGATTCTGTGATATATGAACACTCACTGTTTACTTGAGTGTTCAAATCAGTAATAAAAGATATCTTGCTCAGTTAAAGGAAATTAATTATTCAGCCTATATACATTTTAGAAGTCCAAGAATACAAGCTAAAATAATGTAACAACCATTAAATACTGCTCTGTTGGGAATGATTCATATAGATTTGTAAGATACATTAAATGGACCAACATAATGCAGCAACTTATGCAAGGCCAGCTTTCATTTCTACAGGGACTAGGCCTCTGTTCAATTGAAGTCACCACATCTGGGACATGTAAAATTCTGTATGTACCCAACAGGTTCATGTACCACACTAAGGTTTTAAAAATCTCAGCAACGAGCTGTTGAGGTAGTTCATTCCAACACTTACTAGAGCAGTGAAAATGCTTTGTGTTTACTGACTGCAAAGTCCTGCAAATACACGTGGCTTCATAGAAAAACACAAAAGACCAAAATCATACAAGTAGAATTTATGGCCAAAACACTTACCCAGAATGACTTGTAGAAGGAGGAGGCAGGTCAGGTGTTAGAACATAAAGACTATTATTTTTTGGCAAGTGTAGACTTTTTAAAACAGTCTGAGGGGAGAAAAATCATTATAAATATAAACCATTCACCAATTCTGACATATGATTTTATTTCTTTTAATTACTGATACTTATTTACAGTACCACCAAATATTTTGTTTCAAGAGATACTTACTGCTAACTTCATAACTCATTTTTGTAGGTGGGCCACATTATATATGAAAACAAGACAAACTAAAGTGACTTGTCCTGATTTTTGTGGTAATGTTTTAGATTAAGAGCTCTTTGTGTGCCACCCGAGTCATCTGACACTGTTTGAAACTCACAATTCTTGCATTGTAATCCCCACCCACAGATGCTCAGTTTGAAACTCTGAATTCAGTTAACTGAAAACACAAGTTGAAAACTTACACTATCATCTACATCTCCAGTCTTCCACCCTTTTAACAGCATTTTAGATGCAGGAATCTGAAGCTCGTTTTCTAGAATATGTTTGATATCTCCTAAAGAGAAAAACAAAGAAAATACATAAAATATAAACACTTACTGCTTATTTCAAACAGTACTGAGTTATAACTAGAAAACAAGAGCAAGGAAGAAATTTACTATGAAAACCATTTTTAGTCTAGTTACCTTTGCAACATACTTCAAACAGTAAAGGACAAATGAAGCTTAAATGAAATAATCACATAAAGCATGAATGATTGGAGAATCACGTGAGGATTTGGTGATTTGGACATACATTTGGGTAATTCTACACTGCATATGCCAGACACACATTTGCAGCTGCATGGTATCTGGAACACTGCACTTTGACAGCCACAAAGAGGGTATGTGGTTTTGATACCAAATTGCATTATCAATAGTCCTGACCTAAAGCACTGGAATGTTCATACAATTCGACTGCTGTGACAGCTTTTTCAATGTTCTGCACATTTTGATGCTCTCCTCTCCCTGGAGTTACATTGCAGTCATAAAATAATTCAGGCTGAAAGGTACCTCAGGAGCTCATCCGGCCCAAGTCCAACACAAAGGTCTAATCAAACCAGTTTAGTCAAGGATTTGTCCAGCTGACTCGACCACGTCTAAGGATGACAACTTTTCTAGCCAACCTGTTCCAGTACTTCATCACAATCACCAAAAAAAAAAATCATTTTATCTTTTATCTAATATGCATTTTTGATGTTGCAAACTCTGTCTATTGCCTCTAATTATCATGCACCTCCAAGACAAGTTCAGCTCCATCTTCTCTGTGTCCTCCAGCAGGTAGTTGTAGACAGAGGTAACATCTGTACCTCCCTCATTCTCCTCCCCAGGCTGAACAAATCCACTTCTTTGTGCCTCTCCTCTTATGCAGCCATGTACTCCAGACCCCTGACTGGACTTACTGCAGAATGCCAAGATCTTTCTCCTACTGGGGACCCCAAAATCCAATGCAGTGCTCCAGATGCAAACTCACAAGCACTGAATAGATGGTAATAATTATTTCCATGGATACACTCTTGCCAGCAGAGCCTGGGACATGGATGGCCCTCTTCACTGCAAGGCTGCACTGCTGATGCACCTCAGATTCCTTGAATTATTAAGCTGCTTTCTCGTCTGTCAGCCTTCAGCCAGGTATCAGATGGGGATAACATGGAGCTATCCTATCCCAGGTGCAGGACTTCAACTTTGTTTTCTTGGAACTTCATGAGGTTCCTGTCAGACCATTTCTTCAGCCTGCCCAGGTTCCTCTAAACAGCAACCTTGTCCTCCAGAGTATCAGCCACTTTGTTTGATCAGATTGAGATTCATTTTGATCAGCTTTTTTATCCAGTCTTTATCTTAGCAATATGACTAGAAGCACACAACAGCAGAGTATGTCAAAGGCCTTACTAAAGCCAAAGTGACATCCACCATTCTCCCCTTGTCCACAGAGCCAGTCATCAGATCATAAAAGGCACATAACGCTGACTGATTAAGCACAATTTGCCTTTAGCAAATCTGCACTGGCTGTTCCAAATCACCTTCTTCCAGAAAGATTTTCTCCACAATCTTCCCACAGTCCAAGTCCAGCAAGCACCATCAGTAGGTTTACATCTTCCTTAGCCTTTCTTTTAACCCTGCTAATCCCTCAGTGGTTTCAGCTTCACCTAAGCTTTGGTCTTCCTAACTCCAAACCTGCATACTCTGGCAGCATCTCTGTGTTCCTCCTGAGTAGCCCATTACTACTTTCCACCTTCAGTGTACTTTCTTTTGCATTGAGCTCAGTCAGCCAGAAACCCTTTGTTCTTCTGCACTGGCCTTCTGCCATGCTTGCTCCTCTTGCATGCTGGAAGGAACTGTTCCTATGCTTTGAAGAGCTTGTCCTTGAAGATCAACCAGCTCTCTTGGGCCCTTTTGCCCTCCTGGGCAGTCTCTTATGGGATCCTGCCAAGCAGATCCCCAAAAAGACAAAAAATATTCTTTCCTCAAGTCCATAGTTGAAATCTTATAATTTGCCTTGCTCCTTCCTCTCAGGTCTTTAAACACAAGGCTGCCCTTACAACCTTTATATTCCAAGATACAGACAACAGTTCCACACGAACTGCCTTCTGCCCTCTATCTTAATGACTTGTACTTGAAAGACGTTAATAAGAATATAAAAAGCAAAGCAGCATGGCTGAAAAATTCTGATTTGATCAGATTTTTGTGTCTAATTTCCATGGATGCAACTTGGTGCGACAGAAACCATGGAACATGCATCAACAACTCAAACTCGTCACCGCTAGGTGGCACCAGCCAACACCAGATCGACTGCTAAAAGACTAGTGAGGCTCAAAAGCTTCAATTTCAAAATTTCATCCCAGACAGAAGGCTGAACACAGAAAATTTTACACACTATTCCTGCACGTAGTTCCTTAGTTGGAGCTGTATAAGCTCTTTATAAAATGAAAAATAAAAAAATACTCTTCTCCCTTAGCAAATTAACTCAGTTTGGAGAAGGTAAAAAATAACATGTTCTGTCACACTAACAACAGCTTATTTCTAACATACTCCTACAAACTGCAGCAGTTTTAGGATAAAGCCAATAAAACTGATAAAGTAAGCCTTAATTTGAGCAAAAGAGCCAAATAAAAATTGAACAGAGAAGAATGCAATGATCTTCACACCAGAAAGAATTCCTCTAATCTTGTCACTAATCCTGCACAGAAAGAGATGCCATACAGATTCGAAGAGGAAATGCCAAGATCATCCACTTATTAATAGATTGCATCTATACTAACCCTACCCCAAATTACATCTTCATGCCTCGACTTAATCATTAATCTCCATTTTGTTTCTGAAGCAAGTTCATTAAGAAAACTAGATTTCAAAATAAATATTTGATAGATCACTAACCTTTACAATGGATTAGTGAAATTTTGCTTTTTTAAAGCTGCAAAGAGATTTTAATATGGTTAGTAGCTGTGGAGACTGCATTTCTGGGAGGACTTTTTCTTTTTGAGGGTTTTTATTTTGTTTTGCTTTGGGATTTTGATATTTGGGGTTCAATCTTTTTAGTTTGGTTTGACTTTAACAGTTGCAGGTTAGCAGTTTTCATTTCTACAAATCCTTACCCACTGTGGAGCTGTCTTCAAGTACTACATCCACATTCCTGTCTCTGTACTCAACCCTGAAGTCAAGCATTCGAGGTTGTCTTTCCACTATTTGTCTAGATGGCACTACATGGCGAAATGCTGAGGATGAGGAAGGAGTTGAAGAAGCTGCTGTAGAATGACTTGTGGGGCCATATGCTGGTCCATGTAAAGTCTCTTCACCGTACTCACTGAAAGACATGTAGATAAGGTGATTTAAACAGAACAGCTTGATATGTTTAAATAAAAGTTAGCAAAGTGAAATGACAGTATTATTCACTTACTATGGTCCTCTTTGAATAACTACTGCCATACCCGAAAATACTGCTTATTAATAACTAGAAAATAACTTCAATAACAGCAATATTAACATTTCAGGAGTCAGAAGTGCTATAGGAAATCAGCTTAGATGACAAACAAGCACTTAAGCAAGTATTTCAGCCTAAAATTTACTATGTAATCAATACCAGAATTATCTGGAGAAGAAGGATTATTTCCTGTTCCAGGAATGCTGTGACCATAGAAAAACTGGCACCATGGCAACAACCAACTTTCTACATCACTGGGCTAGTAGCCAATGGAAATGGAAATAAGAGACAAAGCTTAAGTTTCTACATGTGGATTGGTATTTTCCAACACCAAATTAGAGGAAAAACAAGGTATGAAAACAGGTAAATAATTAAGGCAAATAAACTAAGACAATGAGGTATATATTGCAAAAAAATACAGTGCAACAGAAATGCAATGCTGAATTCTACCTTGCCCTCAAAATCCTTCAGGCCTCCTGGAGATTCATATAAGGATGTCTCCATCCCTGATTCAAGGATACACACAGCAGTAGAGGTCAGAATACATTGAGAAACCCTCACTACCCAGAGGCACTTCACCTTCCTCCAGGAGCCTCTCCACAAGAAACATGTAACTGGGATTAGAAGCAAAGGTAGCAAAACATGAAATTTAAGGAACATTACTCCAGGCCAAAAAAAACCCCTATGAGGTACGGAAATCAAATTTGAAAGGAAAGAACTTCATAGGGTAAACCTAGAGCTTTGCCTTTTAGATGTTCTTACCAGGAAGATCATCTATGCTGGGCAGTTACAGGATATCACAACGGTGGAGGCAAGTGAATAAAACATAAACTGAACAAATGGAAACTGAGCAAAGGATTTAGGGAATACTGAGATGTAAGTTTTCTCATTTGCATTCTTAAACAGAACTTCTTTGAAAAACATATTCTGTCCTTCTTGAAGACACCATGAGGTCTCTCAAAGGAAATGCTTCGTATAGCAAGCCAAATCTGTCATGTAGAGGAGGCCTGAACTTCAAAAAGCATAAATGTGGATGGCATACATGTCACAGCAGTGCAATAGTACATAGCTATTGCAAACCCCAGCATTGTGCTTTCCCCATTTGAAACACAAAAACATGTTATGCTTGTAAAACAAGGGGTTCCTTCTCTTCCCACATCAGCAGGCTCAGAAGGATGAATTCCCAGCTAGAAAGACCCACACTCACAGACCTGTGGCTCAAAAGTAAAAGGCCAATGTCAGAGGCCTAAAGAATACAGGAAACAATTTTATTTTCAGGATTTAAAGAAGTATAAACACTGAGTGATATGTTTTTGTCTTAAATCTGATGGCCAACTAGGAATTAAGTGCTATAAGCATTTTGTTAATAGACCCAGGAAGCAATGAATATCCCAATTCTCAAGACTGGATTATAAAACAAACAACTGAATTATAAAAGAAAATGGAAATTTTTTTTCACTGTAATAAATTAACTTACTTCAAGTCCAGTTGCATTAACTCTATTTGATTCCACCACAAAAGGCATCCTACATATCTGACTGGCAACCTCTAATGGAACATAAAAAGCCTCACATCAGTAAAATAAGCCTCATTTGAAAACCACTGGAAACCAGGCTTCTAAGTCTTCCAAGCCTCCTTTTAAACAATTCCATTGGAAGCCAAAAAAAAAAAAAAAAAAAATATTTGAGACAGGATTGACTATCTAATAATTTCTAAAAATGAAAAAATTCTTGTGGAAGAAAGCTGGAAGTGGACACTGGACCAGCTGTTATCCAAGTCAGGTATTACGACTCTAACTACTCCCCAGCTGCTTCCCCCAGTCAAACATTCTGGTTATAAATGCTTGAGGTCAGCACTTATTAACATAGGTAGAAAGAGTGCTCAACACTCTTTGAGACTTGATCTCAAATTAACTAAGTTGGCCTTATAGTAAATATGTATTTAGTAACTTACTGAGCAAAAAAAGTTTTATCCCCAATCAAAAATTGACTCTATTTAACCATAGCTTTAGTAAGTATTGACAGAGATGTCAAAACATCACTTTACCTACATTATGTATCTTTTGTTGTCATTAAACTTTTTAAAATAATACATGAAGTATTTCTCTGATCAAAATTTTAAAGACTATTTTACTGTCTCTCTCAGGTAGCTCAATTCCTGTTCTGCTGCTTTCAATTGCCTCATCAGCACTTAGGAGATCAAGCTTCAGTGACTTCAAGATATCCAAGCATCAGTATACAAGCCAAAATTTAATTCAGAAGCTGGAAGAAAAAAAAATCAGTAAAACTACATTTAGAAGGGAACATACTTACTTTATCTATCACAGTCTCTGCTGCCTGTAAATGAATTTTTTAAAAAAAAACAGACCTACAAAAGTACAAATATTTTTTGCCAGGAACAAAGAAGTATGGAATATCAATACATTTAAAAATGCATAAGGAAAAAGAAAATATTTAATCAGAAGCATACCAACATCCAGAATTGGTAACGAGACAACCCTGCACAGAATGACCCAACAAGTAATGAATTCAAAATAAAAATTAACTCCTCTGAATAGATGTTTGAGCTGGTCTTCCATCAGCATGGGAAAAATTGAATGTTAATTTAGCCTTGCCAGGAATAGAATCTGTGGGTCCAGAAACAGCTTTAAAAGGAGAATTACATCATCTTCTTAGGATTCAGGAACAAAAAAAATGCAACTGCCACCCAGAACTGTTCTCCAAGTGTACTACTCCAGTCCTCTGTGCTTACCTTTGTAGAATGCCATTTTCTTGTGGTATTACACCATTTATAGCTGCCTGAAAAGAGAAAACAAATTTTGAGTCAAGCATACAGAACAACAAAAATCCATCAGAACTTCTACAATATGTTTTAGAGTGAACCACTTGCTTCAAAATATGCCCTAAAATGTTCTCCATTGAGTGAATAATCTCAGGAAGTGATAGTCATTACAGCACCTGCATAAAATAAAAGACATCCCTAAGTGAAAACAAACATGAACTGAAGCTTGGACTCCTGTTTGCATGCAATGGATTTCCCAGGTGGAATGCATGGGAATAAAACGGTCAGTCAACCTAACACTTTGTACACTTGGTACTCACACACAGTGAACATACTGCTCTCAAACACACTGAGCTAACTGTGCACAGCCAAGGCAGCCAGACAGCACATACACAGAAAATCCAACGTTTCCCAGAATGATCAGACCTGCACAGACCTATAAAGCTGCCCAGCTGCACACACACTGCATCCTGCCAGTCTCACATCCATGAACTGCTGCCGTCGGCACAAACAGCTACTCAGGAGTGCACATGCCCCACCACACCTCCCTCTGCCCAAAGCCTGCTCCTAGCCCACCCACACAAACACCACCCAGCCTCCTCGGACTGCTCGTGTGCCAGGGCACCATAGAAATGACCGCTCCAAAAATTCAAACAATCTTCGGGTCAAACAGGATGTATTTTGAGTCAGGTGTATGCAGTTAAATCCCATTCCATGCTGTCCAGATCATCAGAATACACATGCATAAACCTGCATGAAGGTTTGGTCTTATTTGACATTACAGAGTTATTACATAGAAAAATATCCTAATGAATTCCATCTCATATTAAAATGCATTACTATTAAAACAGTCACAACAAAGTTGCAAGTTCAAAACTCAACCTGTGGCTAAATTCTCCTCAGCCTGTTGCAGCATTGCTCTGTTCTATATTGCAGAAAGTTCAATGTATTTCCAGCACATCTGATGCAATAAAAGTTTGCATAAACCTTCAAATTATATATAAGTAAGGACGAGGGAAAAACTTGGAAAGCAAGTAAGACTCTCTTCACCAGTATTTTGAAGACACCTTATTTCAGACTGGTTTATACCATCAAAAGAAAATTCTTTAACATCATGTCCTTGCAAGGATTTATCAGATTTGAGGAGTAGTGAAAGCGATATCATGTGAGCTGGTGAAGGTGACTTACACACCAGCTCCTCAGCTGATTAAACCTTGTTCTGACTACTGTTAGAAGACACAGGAGCAAAGATGCCAGAACCCTACCTAACTTGAGACTTTTAATCCCAGCACAGCAGGGGGCAGATAGGGTGAAACAGCACAAGATGAAATTTGACAGGGAATGAGAAACAACTGGAAAAAGAAATCTAGAGAGGAGAAAAAACAGACCTCAAAAGACTAATTCTCTCTCTCTCTTTGATGATCTTTTTAACCACTGTTGAGCTCACAGTTATGTATTTGTTAGGCTTAACAGCAAGACTAAAGAAAGCTTGTAGCATTCCACTAATGTCCATTTTCTCCTGTACCAGCAGCAATTCATGCATTTCTACTATTACAGTTTCTAGTATCCATCCTCATATGTCAGATATACCTGACCTGTTGGCCAGAATATCTGGGGAATGAGTGTCCAGTCTCTGATGAAAAAGAGAAGGCTAATGTCTAGAAGCTCACAGATACCCTGGTACTCCAGGAGGACAAAGCCATATACTGGAACTGAATTATTGACAGTCATCATCCATCAAAACCATTTTTACAAACGGACATTAAAACAGTGTCGCTTTGTAAGTGCTTCATAAACACAAAAACACATGCAATTGAGATTTACGTGCTATAGTTTCTTTTCATCTGAATATATAAACATGATTTTTTACAATTTCCATTAATAGCTAAGGCTACATAAAGTCAAAAAGCTTTACTGCTGCACTCAGCTGAGTTACTAGGATATTGCCATAAGATTTCTTATGCATTTAGAAACAAATATTGCATAAATAAAACCAAAAAAAAGCAGAGAAGGAAAAGGTCACAGGTATCTATAACTAGAGCAACTACCCATGAGGCTGTACGAAATTACAGTGAAAACAAAGCTCCCTACCAGATCCATTTTTAAATCAGTTTATCCACCATGCATGGCAATAATCAGTGGTTTCTTTCTAACAACGTGTCTCATTTATCATCATTGTGGTTTTTGCAGTCATACATAGCTCTTGATTGTGTTCATCTAATAAACCTCCAGGAAAGAGTAGGAGGCTTTGGTTTATTTGGGTTTTTCTGGATTGGCTTCTCCCTCCCATACTCTTCAGCAACATGTATTTCATTCCTGTCAATCAACAGGTAAAGTGGGTTGAAAGACAAAATGATCCTTTATTCTCCATCTGTGAGACACAGAGAGCAAATACAGGTTTTGTAGGACAGAACTTACACTAATAATGATCTGCTGCCACAACAGCAGATCTTTTACTCTTCCCTCTTTACTCGGGGAAAAGAAGCTGTTTCAGCTATGAAGAAATACAGCAGTGTGGCATTTCCACACTTCTGTCAAAGCTCTTGCCTCAGAGGATTAAATCAGCTCAAACTTCTTCTGAGCCTAGTTAGAGGGGTTAAATATGATAGAGGCTCCAAGCTATTTTCTTTACAACTGAATAACTCACTTGTTCACATCCCCAGTTTTGTAAACTTGATGACATTTAAGGGGCACAGCAGTGAGAAAAAACAGCAGGAGCATTATGTACTTTTTTGATGGAAAGACCTCTATTAACCACACTGTAAAACTAAAGAGTCTGGACAGTGTTTGTTAAGCAAGATGGAAGACTAAAATGATGTAGACAGCAAATGGTAGCAGTGCACATGTACATACTGCATAAATATTAAATATCCATGTTCTTACAAGACATCTATAAGTAGACCCTGCAAAGAAAAAAAGAAAAAGGAACAGCCATCTGCTTTAGAATTTCATAAGGAGAAGGTTGTGACTATAAAAAAAAATAAAACTAAAACACGAACACATTACTAAGGCAAGATGTGTTCCAGGCTGTTCTTTCCCAATGTCAGTCCCCTTTGAGAGAGGATTACATCTCTATGGTTATGCAAACATTCAAAGATATTACATTTTTTTTGTCTCTCCAAACAGGGATCTTTGATCACTAAAAACAGCCTATGTGTCTAATATATAGTAATTAAAAAAGCATCTTACCCCTGAAACAATTTTAATAACCAGTGCATTAAATCTATTTGTGGGTTTTTAAATATAAAGATACCATGTCTGGCTCAGAAAATTCCTTCAGCTCCCAATAACCTGTTGCTGAAAGTGCTGCCAGGGAAGCAGCACTCTGTGATTACACTGTTCTCACACTGTATATCCATGAGTGCCACTGCTGGATATGAGGCACCACAGTTTCAACAGCTATTTGCCTATTCTAATGCTATCACTATTTAAAGAATGACATCCACCTTAAATGGAAAATTATAGTGGGTTCGGAAGATTTCTCCCAAAGCCAAGAATCTTGGGTGTGTCTCAGTATTATCCATATACAAATTTCACCGTAACACTGTTGGAGCTTACAACAGGATAATTACTGTTTCAACGACAACATTCAAACCACCACCATGCCCACAATTTATTTTAGGAAGCTGTAAGCCAAATGTAGCTATTCTTGATGCATACATTTTGTTTAGAGGTATCAGTCATATACCCAAGAATTGGAACAGCTTCTTTAAGAATTCATTAAGCACTGCATAATCTGACCAAATTGGACCTACTTTGGACCAGATTGGTGTCCACAAACAACTTCTTAGCTCAAGCACTCTGTGACTCCATCATCCAGCAGTACAGGATATCTTGACAAACATTGCTGTGAATCCTGTCTATTTAAATGAACAGGAAGACAGAAAGGCAATATAGTATTGGACTGAGAAGTGCCAATCACAGAGGTTCACATTAACAATATTGGCTTTGGTGTTTGTTGCAGCAACACACTTCCAAATTACAGTACCAAAATACATTAATCCAACTTTTCGTTTCCTGCAAACATGGGGAACAATAAAGCAATAGGGTTAATGGATGTTTACCAAATTCATTAACAGTCTGGGCAACATAGAAACTCTGTGGCATTCTGAAATTATTTAAGTGCCTAAAGAACACTGAGGCAGACTCTGAAATTTAGAGCTTTTCCTCAAGGGAGTATTAACTTAAATAGATTAGTCAGTTCTGACTAATTGTGACTATCTTTTATGAGTACAAATCAGCGTTAGAGAGAAAACCAAGAACCACCATTTCTTAATGATGCTGCTGACTTCTCTCACAATACACAATTATAGTACTAACCATTTAAAAGCAATTAAGCACATCTTACAGTGACTCTCATCCCAGGGAAATGAGGGTCCTATGAATAATATCAACAAACTGTGGTATTTTAGAAAGCACAAACATCAAACTCCTGAGTTGTAAATACTCAGTGGTTATCACAAAGTTTGGGGATGAATTTGCCAATGATATTATTTGAAAGCAGAGGTCTACACGTACGGATTGAATACTCAAATGAGGCAGGGGATTTCTTCCTCTTCATGACCTACAGACGGAGGCAGTTTTTAAATTTCTAGAATTTACAAGTGATGTTTGGATGAATTGCCTTAAGAGTCAAAAGCAGGCCCAGGTCAAAGGGCATTTAAAGGTTTTTGCCATGGTTGAGGAGGGAGCTCTTCCTGGGAGGCCACCTCTCGCTCCCTCCCTCTCCTTTCCAACCTCCATGCCACAATGGTTTTGGACGACAGATCCAGATCCTACGCTAGATACAGATCCTTTAAAATATCCCCAATCAAACCTCTACCTGCAATGAAGAGCATGAGCTTTTACAAAGTCCAACATAAGATCGACTTTCCAAAACAGCATACTAGAAAACATATGTCTAAGGAAAAGCAGAAAGCAAGTTCAAGCAGCACAATGCTGGATGCACAACCCTTTCAGAGGAAGAGGCTAGAGAGATGTAAATTCCATGAATATGTGAGAGCTGCATGAGTTTCAC